ATATATATATATATATATATATATATATATATATATATGTATATATATATATATATATATGTATATATATGTATATATATAGTATATACATATTATAAATTACATATATATATAATATGTATATCGATACATTCGTACGTCCATATGGGTATAAGTAGGTGGATTGTTAGAGCGAAGGCTGAAAAGAAAGAGAAACAAACTAAACAAAATAAAATAAAATAAAACAAATAAAATAAAATAAAATAAAATAAAATAAAATAAAATAAAATAAAATATAGGTAAATAAATTTAATTTATTTGCTGCTGGTTGCAGCCGAAGGCAGCAGGCGGCAGCAGCAGGAGATGAGGTGCCTATACACCACAGCTATGGGGTTGTTGTTGCTTGTTAAATATTTTTTTATTGCGTCAAATTAATTTATTTCATTTTCTTTTTAATAATTTAGTTCTAAAAGACAGAGAGAACAGCCATCTGCTGCTGCTGCTGCTGCAGCAGCAGCAGCAGCAGCAGCAGCAGCAGGGAGCCGTGTGCTGTCGATACACAAACAATCGATGCCGTATACTTGGGGTGTATAGGGAGCTCGTTGAGCAGCAGAAAGCAGTTTATTATTTCTCCTTTTTAATTAAAATAATTTTAATTTCTTTTTTTAATTATAAAAATACACAAAAAGGCTGAAAAGAAGAAACGCGCTGTGGCTAGTCGATGCCGTAGCAGCAGCAGCAGCAGCAGCAGCAGCAGCAGCAGCAGCAGCAGCTGGAGCTGGTATTGGGCGTTCACGTATTTATAAATTCCTTCTTTTCCGTGTTTCTTTTATTTATTTCCTTCTTTACCCGTCAATCCACCTCAATAAGCACTGCTGCTGCAGCAAAAACCATCATCTTGCTGCTGCTGCTGCTGCTGCTGCTGCTGCTGCTGCTAGTGGTCCGCTCCCGCTCAGTGCATCGAGCCACTCTACCTGTCGTTGATTTCCTTTCCCTTTTCTTCCTTTTCTTTTTCTTTTTCTTCCTTTTCTTTTTCTCTCCCGCATGCAAACGCCTGCAGCAGACGCAGCACCACAGAACGCCCAGCAGCAGCAACGACCGTAGCCGCTGCAGCAGCAGCAGCAGCAGCAGCAACAGCAACAGCAGCAACAGCAGCAGCAGCAGCAACAGCTGCAGCCCCTGCGGCTGTCTTCTTATAAGCCCTCTCCTCCCCTTCTTTCCCTACACCGGATTCCCCCTGCAGCAGCAGCAGCAGCAGCAGCAGCAGCAGCAGCAGCAGCAGAAGCAGCAGCTGAGACAGGAGCACAAATAGCTGCAGGTGCTGCAGCGAAAGCAAATCGAGCAGCTTGAAGTCTAGCAGCAACAGCAGCAGCAGCAACAGCAGCAGCAGCAGCAGCAGCACGAAACTCCATCTGTGTTAACTTTGCTGCTGCTGCAGCAGCAGCTGTCTGCCTCTCTTTCTTTTTTTTTTTTTCTGCTTTCTCTTCTCCCTCCTCACCTTCTTCTTTCCTCCAAATATTATT